TATATATATATATATATATATATATATATATATATATATATATATATATATATATATATATATATATACATATATACATATACATATAGGTATATATATAATAATTTTTTGAATACTATGATCGTATATATTCAACATATTCGATCTATTCGAGACGAGATGTATATATATGTACAAATACATAATAAAATAATACGATGCCGACATTTCCGACACAGCGCGCTGACACCCGTCCACCCTTCTCGTAACTGTCACAGCAAATTTATCGGATACTCGTAAACAGATTCAATACGGACTTGTTCTCTTTCTGACTGCGCGCCTTGCTGAAAACATTCCAGAAGCGCAAGGTCTCATCGCCGGCGCCGGTGACGATCGCCTCGCCGTCCGGCGACATCGCCAAGTAAAGAACGCGATACGAGTGGCCGGTAAGCTTGGCGACCTGCGTCAGGCTTGGGTACTTCCACACGAGGATCTGGTTTTGCGAATAGCCGTGCGTGCTGACCAGCTCGGAGCTGTGCTTGCTCCACGCGAGATTGCACACCTGCGAGCCCGTGTCGACTGACTGCATCGGTTGGCCGGTTAGCGTGTTCCAGAAACGAATGCAGCGATCAGCAGTACCGCCGCCGGAGGCCAACAGTCCGTGATGGTGAGGCGACCAGGCGATGGCCTTAACTGCCGCTACGTGCTCCGTGTAAGTCTGTATAGGCGAGAGAGAGTGCAGGTTCCACACGTATAGTCGATTGTCATTGCCGCCGGATGCTAAGTATTGGTTGTCCGGTGACCATTTAAGGCCGCACACCTCCTGCCGGTGTGCGCCGAGCCGGCGTTCGCCGACCACACACGGCGTCCTTACGTCCCTCTGCAGTATCAATCTATCCCTGCTGCCGGAGGAGAGCACCTCGCCATTCCACGCGAGGGCGCCTACCCGAGCACTGTGACCCTGCAACTTGCTCACCTGCTTATTCACAGCCACATCCCACACCTGCACGCAGTGTTTCCAAGGGTTGAAGAAAATCGGAAAAAAAACATGTTCTCTTGTTAGTTTTTCCTATCAACCTTGAAAAAATTAGTTTTTTTGTATTAATTTAAATGGTACTATATAAGACTATGGAAATTATTTCTACACATATTAAAATAAATCAAATTTTGTATTACATGCACTCTTATATTTATTTCAATGTAAATATTAAAATAATATAATTAGGATAAAGGATTTCCTTGAGACTGTAAATACAGTACAAAATTACATGTGAGGAACTTTTCAGACTTTTAACTTCTGTAAGTATTTCTATAAGTACTATTTGCAAACAGATTATCAATTATATCATACAATATTATTTTTACTGAAAGTATGATATTTTTGCTGAAAGTATGGTATAATAAAGTATTTTTGAATTTCATCACTCTTGCATAATTATGGTCAATTTTTTGGAAAAATGACAACATTACCTGGATGTAACCCATGTGTGTGCCTACTGCCACCAGATTGCCTCTCTCATTCCATGCAACAGATGTAACGCTATTGCCATCACTGGACAAGTCGCATAAACGTGTCACTTGGCTGGTGCACGCTGACCAGAGGTAAACACAGCTGCCTAAGCCAACACTAAGGACATTCTGAGAGGACCAATCAACCAAATTCAAATAGAAGTCATCTTGTAGTTCAGGTGCATCCAGTACTTTGAAAGGTATTCTGGAAATCTTCCTGGTGGCCTTCCTGGGTGACCTCAGTAGCTTCTGACTCTTTGCACTGAGTGGTGATAGAGAGTAAGGTGAGCTCTGGTCCAATAGAGTGCGATCCTTGGTAGGTGTGGTGTACTTAAACAGGTTTTTCGTCACTAATGGTGACAACACTCGACGCTCTTCGCACTGGCCCTTGACGTCCTCAATACTGGCGCCCAGTAGCTCGTTCTTCAACAGGCAGGAATAAGCGATACCGTCGCGACTGCCTTCGCCGTTCTCCCTCGTCTTTTTCGTTATCAAGCCGCCCCGGCCGTTTTCGCTGATCATAGAAAACGTGGTTTGCCAGTTATTGCCCGATCGAGTAGGTATGAAGCGATCGTAGCTGTTGTTGATCGTCGACGTCTTCGTGGGTGAGAAATAGACGGGCGAGTAGGCGTTGGCAACAGCGGCAGAGGCACTAGCCGTTGCTCCGGAGCCGTCCGTCGTGATCTTCACGCACAGCCGTTTCTCGTACTCGTGGTGAAACATTGTTCGGGAGTCACAAGTGACTGTGACACTACACTTGCACTCGTTATGAGAGCGTCCGACACTCACATCATTTAAACGTCGCGTCGCGTCCTAAAAGCACGATGCGAACTGCTTGCTCGCTTGCTTGTCCGTTTACTTGTCCTGTGAGAGCCGCACCAAAGAACCTCCGCGTTTGCACTGTACTGGTCTGACTGTTTCCACCTCAAGATCTGACACCACCCATCTCATACAACAGACTGGTCAGCCGCGAACAGTTTCCTTTTAACTCTCGCTGCTCCGGTTCGTACAAACTGCTGGCTGTCGCCATTCGACGTCAAGTCGACTCGAAGGCTCGAAAATCGACGGCTCCCTTCTAGCGGGGAAACGGTAAAGTTCCACCAAGTGTGCGTTCCACTTAACGTTCACAACGATTCTATCCTTATTTAACGTTCAGTGAAAAACAAGGATAAAATGATGCCGTGATCGTTGCGGACGTTAAGTGGAACTCAGCCCAAGTCAGAGTTTAGACATTTATGGTTCAATTCTTATTGGCTCTTTGATCCGCATATGTTAGCGAAGAAGTGAATGATAGCGAGAAAGAAACTCATAGGAGTGAAAGAGAAACTGTTCAGAATTAAATGACGAACACGTTGCAACTTATCTCTCACTCCATCTGCTTCTTCCTGATACACATATGGCGAATCAGTATAGTCCATATTCTGAGTTCTCTTTTAACGATAAATGAGCCTTTAAAAGTAACTCATAGCCAATCAGAAAGCTTATGACCACTTTTAGAGGCTCATTTATCGTTAAAAGAGAACTCAGAATACAGGCCTAAGGCCCATATTTTGAATCTTCTTTTATCGATAAAAGTGCCTTGAATATAGCTTCTCAGCCAATCAGGTAGCTCCTAAGCCTCTTTTAGAAACACTTTTATAGATAAAAGAGGATTCAGAATATGGGCCTAAGTGTCCAATTATAATTAAAAGAATTCTAGAAAAGAATGACTTCGTGTTTTGCCAATCAGAATGCTCCGTAACTGCATGACGCGCAACTTAGGGCCATTTTCATATAATCTCCGGTTAACTTTAACTACCAGTTATTCCATTGGAATTGACCAATTGTATTTGACGTTGATCAGAATTAACCAATCACTTGTTGACATTTAACTGATAATTAAAGTGAATCGTATATTGTGAAAATGGCTCTTAGGAACGCGAAATAGATGTATAAGCGCAGTTGCGTACGCACGTATGGCAACGTCATAGATAAAAGGCGAGTTTTTTAATTCATCGATGGATCCATCGCATGATGTGTAAATACACCGAAACATTGCATTTGCGCATCATGCGATGGATTCATCAATGAATTAAAAAACTCGACCAAACTGAAAAAGAGACGCGGGAAACTTTGAAACTCTAAAAGCAGCGTTGCGGAACTTCGTACGTCATCTTCAAGATATCGATTGACCTGCAGCAAACCACCAATGGAATCTCAATTGAGACCCTCGACCGTTATATTACGTCGTCCATTGTAAATCGTATCTGTAAATGAATCAGCTGAATAGCACACAGACGAAAGGCGTATGTTTACTGAACGCATTATCGAGAACTGTCAAGAGTCAGAGGCGCAGTTTAGCGAAAAAATTTCTCGGTTATCGCAAGATACTACCAATAATGACGCTGGAAAGAGATGAAGCTTCTGATTTGAGCGAAGTAATCCTGCAGGAATGCTCCGATGTAGATACACAGGTATATTCATTAGCAGCATTCACAGTCAGTCTTAACTTTCCGTTTATATCATTTTTCAAACGTTAAATTCTTTGTTTAACGGCATTTGTTTGAGGTTAAAACATTTCTTGTAATTGCACGTTTGTTCATAGAGAAAACTTGGATTTAATTTTCTACGATTAGTTTGGTTAATTGGTTAATTGATAGTAATAAAATGTTAATGTGTTAGTAGAGTGTTTTTATTTATTTTTTAAATTCTTAACTAAATTTGTTGATGTCATGAGAATAATATTTTTAAGGAAAATTTGTAACATGTTATATATTATTACAATATTTTATATTTAAAAATCAACAAATATATTATTCCTTATAGGTCAATATGGATAAAAAACCAAAGAGGATACTACATTTTTCTGATGGTGTAATGGAAGAATATTCCTCAGAAGATGAGATTGACATGCCAAAGAGCAATAAAACAATGTCCCAGATAGATCCTGTAATTATGCAGCTTATGCCAATTAAAATCTTTATTACAATGACAAAATTATAACAATGATCTTTATGTTATCTTTTAGAAAACTATGAAATGGTTACCATGGGCATGGTATCAGACCACATGGTTGAGTTCAAAAATGTTGGATGGTTGTGATTATGTTGGTGAATTTCTGGCTAATTTCCTTGGAATAACAGCACCCAAATATCAATTTGAGATCAATGAGTTTTATAGACTGCAAGCACTTGAAAAGGAAATGCTTCACAAACAAGATTTAGAGCTGGGGGGATGGAGTGAACAAAAAAGAAATAACCTCATAGATAGTGATAATATATTATCTATGGAACATAATTGACATATTTTTATAAATGTATATTAATTCATTGCATAAACTTTTTATGCCAGAATGCATTTAAAGCACTATAATCTGGTAAAAAGGATAGATTGATCAATTGCAATGCTATTGTGCTAATACTATCTCAGGATTAACTAGCAATTGTGCAAGTGCAATCAATAGGTGCTCAAACAATTCTAATTGATATTTTTCTATCGCTTTTAAATAGTGAAATCTATTTTGAGTAATTAGCATTGAGATATAAGATAAATGTACATATGTTCGTTGTAAAGTATATACACATAAAAAAAATGTCAGTATTATTTATTACAAAATAACTTAATTGTTATTGCATCGATATTGTTTATTGCATGTGAATAATGTATGTTTATGATATAAGATAGTATATAATTGTATCAAATTTGTTAGTATTATGGAAAAAAATATATATTACCTTATTATGTGTAAAAAAACTCTGGCCTCTGTTTTTGCACCCGCACATATTCGTGCGGAAATAAATGGTATAATCGTAATTTTTGTCGTTAATTATACATCATCCACGACTCCCATATATCATAATCAATAACGAAACATATAATCAATAAATTTTTTTGTATTTAATAAAATGAACATATATAATTGCAATTTCTCGGTGTGAACAAAATTATATTTTCTCAACAAAGCCGCTGACCCCTTCGAGTAAATTCTTTCTGGCAGATATCGGGGAAACGATATTGCACAGTGTGAATATACAACAGTATAATTCGGTACATAATCATATAAAGGTACAAGTGTTATATTGCTCTCCGTGCAGTCGCTCTGCGAATTCATCTGCGTGGGATTCTGTATGTAATATGTTTCATCTACTTGTGTATACTTGCACGTTGCAGTCTTTTATTGGAACTTTTATCGACTAACATCCCAAATGATACAAAGGACCAAAAGATACCCCAAAAAAATTTCTTTTGGACTCTAGCTTTTATAATGTCCTGCCGCAGACATTCGCACTCACCGAGATGTTCAATACAAATGTGTCTTTAAAAAAAGACTTATGTTTCTGGCACGAATCTGTGTAATGCACTTGTCAAAACTAGCAATGAGCTCTGAAGGCCCTGTGGCAGATGCCTTTGCAACCAGGAACCTTTATACTGCTCGATGTGAGCTAACATTTTATTTGCTATGTCCGTTCTGAAAGTCGGTGGCAGATTGCATACTCCCAGATTGATAACCGCCAGTCCCATGTTGCTGTTAGGATTCACGCCGACTCCGATCAACGTCCGGCCGATTTTGCAAGCCGTTAGCATCAGGTCGGAAGTTAATTGCAGTTCCTGTATCTCCATCGACGCGAACTTCGACGAGAGATTTGCTTCGTACAAAGAATGGGATATTCGTTTGACTTGTTTCGTCATTTTCTACAAAATAACGCACAGGAAATTATTAGTATTACGGATATCTCATTTGTTTGCCTTGAAGATATTATGTGCAGACATGTGTCTACTAATTTAAAGATATCATTCCGAAAAACCCTAGATAAAGGTTTTTTACTTACAGCAAACAGATCGGCCGAAAGATACTCGAGATTTACATTATCAGGGTCGGTCAATAATCTGTATAAGGTAGAGCCGCGATTATCAGGGATTTGTTGCAAATCCTTGACCGCTTGATTCTTGCTCAGCGTCAGTACTAAAGTATCTAGACGTCCTAGTTCCAATATTGCGCTACCAATTTTATATTCAGAGTCTTGAAACACGTGTACGTCCAGTAATTTCGTGATACATTTTTCTCTGCAAAATGAAGTGATCTGATTAAACATGATCGATGAAAAGAACAAATCTGTTACACGATATATAGTAGTATAGGTTTTAAGATCAGTTTACATCAGCAGTAAAATTACTAATAAGATGCACTTCCAGCAGTGTTACTAACAAATATAAATTGTCTCACTTAAAATTGTTAAAAACATTTGTTTCCAACAAGTTAGTCATCAAATTAGCCACAGTTTGTTATTAATTTCGTTATTTTCGTTATAAAAAATATTAATAACATTTGTTTTCAACATTTTGCGGAAAACAAATGCTATTGACAAAAGTTATTCATTTTTGTGACTGATAAGCTTTATCACTAATATTATTAAGTTTTAACAAAAACATTATTTCTGTAACCCATGATGATCTAGATCAAAGAATGTTGAAAATTAGATCTTTTGTTAGAAACGTTTTCACTTATAGCTTTTTGCTATTAATATTGTTACTACCACTTTTGATATAAACCGGTCTTTACATTATGTCAATCTTACCTAACTGATGCAGATAATTCGGGGATATCGTAAATGTCGTCTGGACCCAAGTCTATCTCCGTTATCGGGTTCCAAGCTAAGCCTGCTGCTATAAGATAACCGATCCATGCAAAGGGATGCGGCGTAAGATGATGGCTACCTGACCAGTGTGCGACAACAATACCGACCGAATTCTGCTCTAAAGAAGTTTTTATCGCATTTCGTGTGTTGGCATATGTCGAAGCTGGACATCCCGCCAAACTATTGTAACTGGCTGTGCCGGAACTCGGTAAAACGTTTCCGCCCGCTATCCTGAATGCTTCTGTCCACTCAGAGAAATCGTAATCAGCCTGTAATGTTAGAATCTTCATGATAAATCCTATGTTCTTCGCAAATGCTTTTATTATCATTATGTGTGCCAGTAAATTATTTACCTGAAACCCATACTCGACGAGTATGATGTTGGTGGGAATATTGTGGAACTCCGGTTTGGAATGTAAACCGTTGGAACATAACATTAAAGTCGTGCTTGAGCTCAGATTGAGAATGTGCCAAAGTTCTTGAAGACAGGAATAAGATTTGAATACTTCTGACATGTCCGTTTCGATCGTCTCGTTGATTGACACGTTCAAATCGAAACTGTCAGCCTGCACTAAGAGACTAGCTAGTCGCGGGCCCACGTGAACATAGCTTAAGCCGGGGAATACTGCGAGTAATTCTTGAAATATAGGCCACATTTGCGTCAAGTGATGCTGGCCGACATTAGACTCGACGTCTAAAGTGGGAACTATGTCTAGATGACGATCTCTGCAAGAATAATTTATTCATTGGAAAATGTATTCAGAGTCTACCAATGTACAATGTTCATACCTGCAATATCTGTCCAAGGTGACCATCTCGGATTTGGAGTAGCAAAGCTGCCAGTCACAGTTTGGTATCAGCCTGGAGTAAAGATGCAAATGCGAGATTTTGAATGATGACAACAGGTCGATGGTATGCAGCAGATACTCCAAGGTTGGTATGCGTCCTCTGGGTGAGATGTCCAACAGCACACCGCGATGAGTGAACCTCGGTTCGTCCTTGATGAACACTGGCTCTATCTCGCACACTTCCGATCTGCTCTGATTCTTACTCAACCGTAGGATCTGCACGAAAGTGCAAACCGCGTAATGCAGCCCTGCTAGACTGCCGGCGCTCACTTTAATGGAGTTCTGCGAGATGTGTAGCTGATAGCCATCTGCGACGTTGAATAGATTTCCGTTCACGATACACTCGATCGTGTTGTCGTTGAGCAGTTTGCCGCAACTGGGCTGCACTTCACCGATCTTCACATCATGACCCAACTCCAGCAGGTGAGTTCTACTGATCTCCCATACGTCCAATATTCTGTGCACAGACTCGCTGCCCTGGGAAATAATTTGTATGCAGTGTCCCGTCAAATGCAAAACAAAATGTAAAAAAAAAGTGCAAAACAAAATTGCAAGTAAATACAAATGTTTGAGAATTAATGAGAAAATATGACGCGTCTTCTGGACGCCTGTATGTTTTTAAAAATTTATATTAATTGAAATTAATTAAATTTATCTGCGAACTACCTGTATTATTGATATAAAAAGCTCCTTTCCAGCGATGAATGGAGCTGTGAAGTTTTTTAGTTCTATCACAACCTTCGGTTGCGGCCACAGTAAACTGTAGATACTCCCTTTGTCGGCGATGGATTTGTTAGGACTCTCCTTGCCCACGTCGCGCAAAGGCACATCGTACACCGGATCCGAGGATTTATTAGACTCGATCGAGAGTTGACTCATATTGTTCGAGAGATTCTTCTGGCAAAAGTTTCCCTCTGCGAACGAGGGCAGAGTGGTGGTGGGGCTGTGCATAGTTTCGTTTTCGTTTAACATAAAGTTCGACATAAATCTTTGAAGGAAACAGTGTAGGGATTGCTTCTTCCTGGACAGATCATATGGCGCCTTTCCCGTGAACGTTCTGAGGAAAAGATCGCTCTTTGGTGCATTTGTGCACACGCAAAATGGACATATTCGTACGATCGGACGCTTACCCTTTGGTAGCTCGTACTAGAGGATTCGCGCCAGCCTGCAGCAACTCCTGGCAAATAGCGATGTCGCCGCGATTCACTGCATCGTGCAACGGAGTCGCGCCACAACCATTCTCGGCGTTTACATCAGCTCCCTTATCTGCGGAAAGAGTATGATATAATAAAACATCGTTAGCAGTACGTGAGCGCAACGTCTGTCTGAATTTTACCGAGTAAACACGCGACAATGTCCTTGTTTCCGTAACATGCTGCCCAATGTAACGGCGTGTTCTTGCTACCTTGTGAATCCCATGAATTAACGTCTAATCCTGCATCTAACAATTGTACCACTCTGTCTACTCTGTAAGAAATTTATATCCCTACTTAGTAACATTGTTTAATATGTGCTTATTGCCATTATCATTTCCAAAAGAATATCAAAATTTAATTATTTAATATGTGTTTATTGCTTTTATCATTTGAGAAAGAACACTTAGATCTCATCGTGGAGAATTGTTTACATACTCTGAAGCAGCTGTTGCCCTCAATAGTTCCTCTATATAAATACGTCGTATTGCATCACTTGCTGCGACATCTACTGCATTGTGTCCATTTGCATTTTGCACAGCTGGATCAGCACCGCAGTTTAACAGAGTTCGCACAATGTCAGCTTGATTGGCCTAAATGCAAAGAGGATATTTTAATTGAAAGAAAGAAAAAGAGAAAATAATAAATTAATAAATAATGGGAGAAACTATTTCAGACCTTGGAGGCATAGGACAAAAAAGTTCCTTCTTCCAGAACTGGTTGATTCAGTATCTTATCTCTTGTAATACCCTCTGTTGCATTACCATTTTCACCTACGACAGGAAGGGAAATAACGTAAACAGATAAGTAGATAATGCGGCTAATAATGCCGGTACGATACCGGCGACTTTCAAATCTTGAATGCAAATTTTTGTAAGTCTTCTCGGAAAAGGTGGAAATATCTTTTTTCAAAGGCCAAACATTTTCTGCGTAGCAACGTATCCGGAGCGTATTAGCGTTGTCATACGTACACGCATCCAAGAGCGACCTGATAATGTCAGTACGTCCGTGTTCAATCGCCGTACGAATGTTCTCGCAGATGCCTTGCATGTCTATTTGTTCGTGTCACGCTCAGGGTCAGGGTGGCGCGTCGCCTGGCATCGTCAGCAAGTCGTTTCGCTGTCAGCTGTCAGAAATCTCACCGGTCATAACATCGGTCTCATTCAGCATATCGGCTCGACGCACCTTGATGGCACTTTGGCGGTTGGACGGTATGCGTGTGTAGACATGTATGTGTATAGGTAGATACAACCAGTGCCGTCGTCAGTAAACTTGTTTCTTTTTGATTAAACTGGAATCGAGGTAGACACGCACGATGAGGCGGCATAAATTTTCACGAGAACAGGCATGGAGACCAAAAACGCAGCAGTAATAAATAATTTATAATTTATAAAATAGCATTATAATTTATAAAATAAAAATGTGATTTATTTAAAATATTTTATTATTACCCTACGTGTCTCTAAATTAAATTGCTTACTTATTGATGAAATTTAAGCAAAATTAATGAGGCTGTGGCAAAAAAAGCTTTGGCAAAAAAATCACAATATGGTTCAAGAAGCATTTTACAACTGGAAGTCTCTAGTTTTCAGAAACAGGATATAACATTCACTAATCTCTCGTACAGAAACATAAATCAGATACGTGAGATGTGAAAGTTTTTGTTTGAAAAGAAGTTTGATGAACTAACATAATTAACTCTTACACAAATGAGATTTATACCTTTTGGAAGTACAATTTTTTTTAACTTGCAAATTCTGCAATATATTTTTTACTTTTTTAACATTAAAGTAAAAGGCATTCTGGCTTTAATCACTTAGAGAGTAAAGAAATCGATGCATAATAATTACCGGTGACCAAATAGAAACCTAGTTTCTTTTCTAAAATATTATTATCTAATTTTTATAAAAATTACCCAGATAGTACAGAGAATTCAAAAAGAATTCGAAAATAATTTAGTCGTATGTCACCAATTCTGAGTTCATTTTCAAATGTAAAAAGAATTCTTCAGAGTTCAGTTCAGTAAAAAGAATTCTTTTTGTATCTAAAAATGAACTCAGAATTGGTGATATCCCAGTAAACATGCATGTCTAAAAGATGTCGAAAAGATACCTAAAAGATGTCTTATGCAACAAAATGTTGCATAAGACATCTTTTAGATATCTTTTCGACATCTTTTAGACATGCATGTTTACTGAGATACGACTGAACCCAGTCGTATCTCATGCAACATTTCTTATATCTTGCATATCTTATGCATATCTTTATGCAACATTTTGTTGCATAAAACGTCTTTTAGATATCTTTTCGACATCTTTTAGATACGCATGTTATCTGGGAATACTTTTAGAATTTTCTATGCTATATGGGTACGCACGCTGTTGAATCCCATACAACAAAATACACAGTCCAAAATATATTATAGGGATATATTCTATGGATGTTATAATATTTTTAGGATATCTATATGATGTATTTTGGACATTCTTGCTGTGTGGGATATTATTATTTAAAAAGTGAAGGTCGTCAGCTTTATTGTTGAGTTGTACTACGACCTCAATTCGTCGCGCCGGAAAATAGCGGCTCATAGCGGAGACTTTGGAACTAATAGTATGTTCGACTGGCTTTAGGTTAACCCACGCTGGATTATTCAGCCTACGTTTATTGGTCGAACAAGTACTTATAAGCTTTATGATTGGCTAGTAGAGACTTATGACGTCATTAATAGCTCTCGGAGCGATTAACCCAGGGCCAGTCGAACACGCTATAACTGTAATGGCTCTCGCAACCAGCGCGATTTGCGACACGACACGCGATATGCGATGCGCGATATCCAATGAGCGTACAGCTTCTCCGGAATACCAATACACTCATTGGATATCGCGGGTGTATATCAGTTGGACACGGGGCAATTGGACACAGTCCAATCACAAGTCGCTGTTCCAAGGGACCTACAAATGTCTCTAATCACACGGTGCTGTGATTGGCTGTGTCCAAATGTACCGTGTCCAGGTGCACCGCTCCCGGATATCGCTCGTCGCATATCGTGTGTCGCGTCGCGCATCGCACTGGTCTGCGAGAGCCATAATGCGTCATCTTCAAAATTAACGGGTCTAAAGCCAACGGCACACGGCTTGTTTCGTCTGGTCTACTTTAGAGAACCTCAAGCAAAGAGAATCGCCAACTTGGTCACGTGACCAGCTGATTGGCTGGCATAAATATATATGATTTAGACATTGCGACGCCAATGCAGAACAAATGCTTATATATATATATATATATATTTATATATATGGTTTTGCATCGGCGTCGCAATGTTTAAATCCGCACATGTTTATGCCAGCCAATCGCAGAGTAGCTGAGTAGCTGGTTACATGACCAAGTTGGCGATTCTCTTTACTAGAGGTTCCTTAGTCTGCTTGCTAGATAAAACACTCTGTTTTGATTGGTGCATTTCTATTTATGTTCAGAAATGGCAATTAGAAAAGAGTATTTTAACCCAGAAAGCAATTTAGAACGAAAACAAGTATCGTGTGGCGTTGGCTTTAAGCCCGTATCAGACTATAGATTAGGATTGAGATTGAATTGAAATTTAGCCAATCAGAGCAAAATTCACTAAGCTCAATTTGATGAACTTTGCTCTGATTGGCTAATTTTCAATTCAATTTCAATCTTAATCCGTAGTCTGATATGGGCTTTACTGTTAGATCCCTAGATCTAAACCAATTACATTGACGAATTGCTCAACTGCTGTGTAATTGTTGAATCTGCTGATGCAGTCAATGGGTGCGTTCAGCTAACTCAACAGTTGCACAATAGTTGAGCAATTCGTCAATGTAATTTGTCTAGATTTAGAGATCTAACAATAAGAACCAATAATCGTTGATTGCTCACTGAGTGCTTTTTCCGCTGAACGCGCCCATTGAGAGTTTTTTCTTCTAAAGAGAACAATATATAACGGACATTAGGTGTAAAAATGTCAAAAGTGTAAACAACGCGAATAAACTTTATGGTAACGAATAAATTCGATCGATCGGATTGGTCATTCCGTTCAGCGCGATGCTTATTGGTCAATTGAAGTACCTATAGGCAGCAGCGGTGACGTAGCGTTCTTTTCGATTCGAAACTCCGCCACGATTGTTTCCCGCGACTTCGGCTCCTCGAAGGTAAGGACTTTCTCGTATATTATCGTCGTCGAAAGTGCCGAAAATGTGTTTTGTACATTCCTTGTAATGATCGCAAGGCGATGTCGTAAGAGCAGTAATGGATTATCGTCATTAGTCACAAAAATCGACATCCTACGATACAGTATGGCGGGTAAGGTTACGTACGTTCGTTACGCCGTGCAGTTCGGAGACCGAATTTCTGTGTTGTATGCATTTGATTTAATTGATAACGATCTCGCGCGTGAATTGTCATCGAAGGTATCGAAAAATATTATCGGGCATCATCGTGGACGAACTGTCATCGAACAAACATCGTGGGTCAGAACGGGTTATCGGGCGTGCCGAGTGAAGGTGGCCGCAGTCGGTACTTGTCGCGACGCGATAATCGCAACCGTTTTATACCGCCAGTTGTAAGATGTCTCGCGAGTAGTACAGTCGACAGCGTCGGTAAGCCGTTACGTGTTCCTCCGTGATTTCGCTCACCAGGAAGGAGTTTCGCGCGCGATCGTCATCGGGAGAGCGGAAAGTAAGTTTCGCGCGTCCGTCGCGGTGAGATATCGCGAAATGAAAGCGAACGTGTCTCGCGGAACGGTTCATCAAATAAATATCTCTTATTTATTAAATATTCTTCCTCTCACAATATGTAGGTAAGTGTGTAAAGGACGAGACTTCATGTACAACGTACAACCTATTTATTATTTACAACAATGTACCAATGTTACGTAAAATGTACCACATCATGTTTTATCTAGGTCACTTATCACACTGTGTTAAAAAAAAGAGAGAAAAACGGCGCGCGATCGTGCCACCGGGCTGGGCGGGAGCGGGGATTACGGCTCGATTTTCCAGATCGAGACCGGCTCGAGTCGACTATCGATTCGATTCTGGCGCGGCGAACATCCGGCCAGAGGCGGACGCGCGCGTGTGAAGTGTGTATGTGTGTGTGTGAACCGATCGCGCGTATATAATAATTAGCGGAACGTGGCGACATCGCGTCGCATTTTGTTAGGCCCGCGCGAATCGGCGGTTTCTCTGTGCGTATGCGTCACACGACCTTCGCGCGAATTCGTTTGCACCGGGGTCTCGAAGCGCGACGGGACGAGGAGAGTCGTCGTGATTGCGAGATCAGCGTGTCGCGTTTCTTTTTTTTTTGCTAATTTTCTCTCCGCAATTTGTCCGTTTAATTATTCAACTCGCGCCGACAATCTTCGCGCGATAGATACCCCGATCGAAATTTGAATCTTACTCTCCACTCCGATATTCTATTTTACATCTATTTTGATACTTTGAAATCTATATTAACCTCTTTTGATTTTATTTAACCTACAGTTTTGCCAAGAGATACTTTTTAGACCTACTAGTGGCATTTTGTGCGTTTTTTTCATTTAGAAGCGCCAAGTAGGACATCGGTTTCTATGTATATGAAACATATCCTTCAGAATGTACAGAAGTTCAGATCGAAAGTAGGACTAAAATTTCGACTCGGGTACATGAGAAAAAAAAGATGCTGCATCAACAGAATTAGAGTTTCATTAATTTCTCTAGTTTGTTTTTTCTTGTATGATTAAAAATGATGGATCTAGAAAAAAAATCTACTCTTCAGTAGAAAAAGCCTCTATTTTAAGATGGAAAATGAATATGGAAAAAAATTGATATTTTAGAAATTAAAAGATCTAATTTTGTTAATAGTGTTATAAATACAATAGAATTTGTCAGCGCAGCGCTTCGCAACTAGAGTAAACTAGAAAACTAGAGTAAACTTTCTTGATCCAATAGCAGTATTATGGAAATTAATATTCGAATTATTAAAACAATAAACGATATATTAGTTTCAATAATATTGCTATTAAATCAAGAAGATTTACTCTAATTGTGACGCTGTTGACCAATCCTACTGATATAACAAAATTCTCTTCTATACACGTTCGTGTATTTGTAACGTTTTATTTTCTACGAATTCCTATGGCTCGATCGAATCGTTCGTAACTCGAGAGCCTGAATGTTTCCCCTCGAAACTGCTCAGACAGTTCAATCGCGCAATTCGTTCGAATCTCTCTTGTCCGAAGCCTAATCTTTCTCGTGTGTTTTGCAGCTGCTGCTCGACATCACCGCGATTTTCCCGCCGTGGAGAATAATCGGGAGTGACATGAAGCGAGGAGGAGCAGCGGAACCTCGACTGGCTTCGTATGCTTCACCGGGAACACGACGCACGTAGTGAGTCTGAATACTGCTTGGATATTCGCTTTGCTGCACGCGCGCGTGTACGAGCGTCTGTTCTTTGCAGCTGCACTTTTTTGGACTATCTCGTAAGCTTCTTATTTTCTTTCTTCTATCACCAAATGTCAAATATATGCTTACTTTATCTTAAAAACAGACAATGCAACTCGGTGCAATTGCAAGGGAACAGATCTTATATCACGTCGTGATGCAAATATGCCCGCGGCGCGGTGGCGATCTAACGTGCTCTTCGTTACAACGTGAATTTTATTGACATGTTCAGGCGTCGATAAAACACCCGCGTCACACGTAGACATACGTAGACATGTATCATGTACATTCACACTAGGGCATCCATGTATTTCGCACCGGGTGTGTTATGTGTGTGTGTGTGTGTGTGTGTGTGTCTGTGTCTTGATGGTGTGTTTCTTTATAATATATACGTGTATATATATATCGTAGAGCGTAACACGTTCAACGTGACGCGAAAACAGAAAACAATTAATATTACAACGTCATTGTACCATCTGTCTCTATCCTACGCCTATAACGCGCGTCATATCTCGCAGTTGAATCCTTCGAGCTTGAGTTCTTGAAGGATACGTGTAAGAATCGTGGGAATCTCGTGTCGAGCGCGGACAGAATTGTACTTCCGTGTAGAGTAGCAAGTTGAGAGACTTGTCCACCGGTTTACCGGAAACCCGATTTGCAGTACGATTATCTGATTTCGGATCCAGTTTGTTTGTGTGTTGCACAAAAATTAAACGATAACCAAAGTGCAACGTTAAACGCGCGTGAGACTGATTATTCGAGAATCGTGGAGTTTAAAATTGCTTTGAAATATTAATCCTCTTCTATCTTTCCCTCTCGTGCGATCCCTGCGTATGTTATTTTACATTCCGTTGATCTTGAGAAATCAATAATACGGAAATCATAGTTCCACTTCGGATTCCCGATAATATTCAGCGATACAACATTTCCCCTTTTCCACTAAAACAGAGTTACATATATATAGGAACAAAGTTATATATATATATATATATATATATATATATATATATATATATATATATACACATACGTATAGAATATATATATCGTCAATTATTAATTTTCGAACCAACAGTGAGAACGTCCACGTATCCAAACGATTAGTATATCGAGGAGAAGGTTCACCAGGAGAGGCTCACTTCTCTCGCTTAGAGTGCGACGATTATGTTTCTAACTTGCTAACGACCGCGACAGTAACGTAATGAACGTGTGTACACATCTAAACGTCTAAATCTCGCCCGCGAGAACGAAAGTTTCGTGTGTCAGATCTGATTCGAAATCGCGCCTCCCTTCTCGTTTATCGCGTGTCGCCGCGTTGTCGCGTGCGCGAGAATACGACGACGGGGTGTGTTTTTCGCGCTCGCGCTTCGCACGGACAGCCGAAAGGGTGGACGGATGGCTGCCGCGACATACGGCGGGATGTTTCATTAAGTTTAAAGACGAACGAGTGGACGAGTTTTTCCCTCCGATTACAAAGCGAACCCTGTCTTACCATGCGTATCATGGATCGCACCGGCCGAAAACACTATTTACAATTCTTTTGCGGTCCACGATCGAGGAGGGTCACGAGCATATCATTTCTTACTTCTACACTGACAAATAAACCTACTCAAAAGATACATTCCGATTTTTTCTAATTTGGCACAAATGTAGAAGTACAAATATACATATTTGTCATGTAACTATGAACTATAAATCATATAAATATAAAAATATAGATCATATTTTTTCATTTTGACCCACTTTGAGTTTCACGGGCAGTTTATAGTTTTTTAATGTTCTCACTCTTATCATCAACAAGTACAACAAAAATGCATAAGAAATAAAATTGAATACAAGATATAGTTAAATAATTTTAACAAAATCGGCATAGCTGAGACATGAACCATTCTAAATTTCTTTAGCCGAGATTTCAACCAAAATATTTCAAAACTGTGCTAAATTAGTCAAAAATGGTTCGAATCTCGGCAAACCGAGAAATTATTTTTATAAATAATTTTTTTTCAACTTTTTACATGTTTTGTTTAAACATTTTATTATTTATATAAATAATTTTACATATTTGACTTCATATTCATAATTAGCAAATAAAAAACGTCTTGTATTCAATTTTATTTCTCATACATTTTTGTTGTATTTGCTGATGATAGAAGTGAGAACGTTAAAAAGCTATAAACTGCCCGTGAAACCAAAGTGTGTGGGCCAAAATGAAAAAATATAACCTAAATATTTTTTGTACTTCTACATTTGTGTCAAATTAGAAAGAAATTGGAGTGTAACTTTTGGGTAAGTTTACTTATAAGAAAGAATATTTGAAACTTAACTTTGTAGCATATAAAGTTCATCTCTGTGATATAAGGTTGATTTCAATGAAATAAAGTTTATTTTGGCGAAACAAAATTTTTTTCTTATGAATAAACTTTGAATCCTACAAATAAATTTTCAAGTATCTTTTTCTCAATGACGATAAATTGTCACGAGAAAATTCAAAGAAAGATATCACTTCAAGAATGTAAGAATATTACGGCAATTTTTTCATATTACCCCGTTTGTAAAACAAAAAATAATACAGTCGTAAGTTAAAAGAGGAGAAATACTCGTATTTATGATATAAATACTAGTGTTTATGATATAAATACTCATGTTAAATGATATTGCAATTTCCGTTCTGCAAGATGAACAAAAAATGCGTTAATCACGCAAAACTTTGACGCGTTAATTAAGAAAAATGAAAATAAGAGCGCCATAATTGTTTTGTACACCTCGAATTAATTAGACCAAGTACGAGGTTTACGGGGGCACGGATCGTGATCTTCCTCGATGCACATGTCATTAACGCATATTCACACACACACACACACATATACATACACACATACTGATCGATATTTGCACGCAATACACGTAAGTTCTTATCCATATTAGAACGCATACATTTAATTCACACACGCGTGTAAATTTAGCACGGCAGACGAACGCGCGCGACAGAGAAAAGACGCGCCCATTCACATTTTCACACACATCCACCGAGCATACGCACGCATACACGTAATTTTGGCGCGCGGGCGCGGTCGTGTGCATGCACACAGAGATAGGTATATATACTATATATAATGCATATATAAAAGTAATTTCGTAACATACAATAAATCGTATTTCTACGTTTGGCACATCTCACCAACTATTGAATTCGTACAATTACAGCTGGCTAAGTACGCTCACGTATGTATACTTGCCGTCGAGTGTACGCACACACGTATATATATATATGTGTGTGTGTGTGTATATATGTGTGTACCAACTCGCATGAATCTCTAGTATTTACTGAATACGCGCGATCGGCACGCGTGTACGTTGCGTCGGCTCAGATGAATTCAATTCTTCCACATATATTTTTTAGATTATGAGTATAATGCAAGGAGAGAATCGCAAATATTCAATGCAAACGAATTATTTTCAATTTCGCCACTTTGAATCGAAGGTATAATTGGTTTTACGAGTTTGAAGAGCCGCGTGCACTACTTCAAATGTTCCACGTGATCACCTCATTCAAGTGTCGAATCGTGAGAGAGACGTAATTATTTAACTACACAAGTATTATCTAATTGTCCGTGAAGGGATAACAATCTCCTGAAAGCACCAAGAAAATTACAAATAATGTGGAGAAACAAGAATGCATCTGCATCGACGTCACTAGTGCACTGCGCAAATATCTCGCCGGAATAACGGTGGTACATATTTTACGTATGCTTTATGCATATATATATGTGTGTATATACACACACACATATATATATATATATATATGTACATGTATATATATCTCTATCTACATTTAGATGTACTTTCCATATAGTCAATTTTTAGTGCGTTGTCGACCCTATCTACTTCTAAAAAATTATAAGAGGAACGCGTGTTAATCTGTATCCATTTATATAAGTTTTATTTCATTAAAACGTTATGTTAACGTACGCCACGCCGAACAAAGAGCAGGCTTGGCAGGCGGACGCATCTGCGTGGGAGTCGCACTCTCGCGAGTTCGTCACCTTCCTCCGTCGAAACTTACCCCGTTATGGGAAAAGCTTCCTTTTCGATACTTCAACTCCGCATCAGACGGATCATACCCCGTCAACGCCGCTTTCGTTAAGGGCGAATTGTCGCGTTTAGACACGCGATTCGTTAGAGATAGCGTGAGAAATTGAAATCTGCAAAATTCGGGAATCTAAGAGTCGCGATCGATTTTCTACCTTCGCAATTTGAACGCGAAGCTCTCTGTTTTTCCCGATAAAAAGCTAGAAAAAGATAGAGACAGAGAGAAAGAGAAAGTTAGAGAAGAGGAGAGAAGGAATTACGATATCGTTCGACGAGAGCGCAACTCCGTGGACCCATTCAGAAAATCCGGCGCGCAGTCGGAATTAGATCGTCGATAGGACGCGCTCTTCTTCGCGTTTTATACGTTTTGTTTGTTTGTTCTTCCTTTGTTTAAATAATATATATCCACGAACAAGGCACTGCTCGACACAAGAAATTTCGCCGGATCCTTCGTTCCAGCGCGTCGGCCGCGCACCAGCGGGCGAAAAAGTCCGTCGCGTCATCGAGCTTCCAGCGACCCTTTCGGGCCGCTTCGTTCACCTCGAAAATGTCGAGTAAAAAATGGTCGGGGGTACACTTTAGAATATTTCCGTAGGAGCTCTCTCGCACGCGTTTCGGCTCACTCGTTGCGTCGAAAAGATCCGCTGTTTAGGCTCTGAACTGAACAACCCCATTCAACCGTTTCCTTCCTCACGAATCGATCGCTTTTCCGGCTCGTTTTCTTCCTCCGTCTTGGTCTTCCTTCTTGTCACCCGGAGAAATTGCGTAATCGACGTTGGCGTTATACTTTCGAAGGGACGTCATTCTGCGATAATCAGTGGAGCAGTAATATCGATTTCAAGAATACAGCGGCAGCCTGATTGTTTATATCGCGCAGCAGAGCGAAATAATGACATTTCCTCGACGCATCACGTTGCTTCCGTTGTCAAATTCTTCCCCCTTTGCGCTTCTATTCCCTTCGATATTTCTTACGCGTCTATTGAATCTGTTGATATTACTGGAAAGTTTGGGAAAACGAGACGAGAACTTTGAGAACGAGCGAGAATCCTTAACAGATGCCACGATTACACTCACTAAATACGAAATAAATCAAGCCGTTCTATTTCCATTGCGCGCGATTAATTTCGATTAACTGATAACTAAAAGAGAGTGACAGAGTTTACTGAGTCGTTATTTCGAGTCGAGCGCCACGTCAAAGAAAGTATCCGTCTAACGCGAATCCACCATTTCTTCCATTTTCGTTCGTTCGATCTTAGAAGCAACTCAAGAGAATGCCGCGCTCGTGCCGGAAGAGGACGGATGCAGGACGTAATTATTATCGTGAATCACTCGATCGGTTTAACCCTTTCAGTACCTACGTGTAATACCTATGTTCCGTACTAATAATTTTTTTTTACGAATGCTTTCTTCTCATCATTTTCTGTAAGAATATTTCACTCTTTCCATTGATACCGTTTCTCACAGACCTCTATAATTTGAGGAGCTATACTTGAAAAGACACGGAGCCTTTTTCTCATCTAAATAAGATGTTGGGAATCGCGCGAGTCAAGCACCCACGTATTCAGCCATTTGCACGTAAGCACAGTACTGAAAAGATCAACGCGAAACGCAACACCTGCATCCCGTTCTCTTCGCGGGCACGAACGCGGCCCGAAATCGTCGCGGAGAGAATCTCGCCCGCGGGCAGATCGACGTGCGTTATAAGGGGAAGCACTTGGTCCGTTTCTGAGCAACGACCGACCGGCAGTCGACCTTAGAACCGAGGGTGAAATTCTCCGGCTTGACGCTCTCCTCGACGGAGATTTTGCCGAGTCGCTTCTTAACGCGGAACGGCGTCGATCGCGGCGATATGATCTCGTAGAGGTCGCTGGTTCGTCCCTGGACGTCTTCTCCTTTGGGACTGGTGATCTTCTGATCGATGGGAATGGCGATGTCCACCTCGGCGCAGTGATTCTGACTGGGCTTCTTCTCCGGCGATTCTCTCTTTTGTGGTTCTCTCTCTTGTGGTTCTCTCTCTTGTGGTTCGCTTTCTTGTGGTTCGCTCTCTTGCAATTCACTCTCTTGTGATTCTTCCTCCGGCGATTTTACTTCGTCCTCATTCTCAGGCGTCTCCTCGGACGGCGAGTTGAAGAGATCCGAGGAGTAACTCTTGCAGTACATCAGCGCCAGATCGTCGGCCTCGGACGGCAGGTTCCTCGTAGAGGCCAAAGAGATCGCTCTAGTCTCCGGTTTGTGGGGTTTATCTTCGTCGGCGTAGTCTAAAGACATACACTTCTTCTCAAACAGAGCCGGTCCGGGTGACTTCTGCTCGCTGACTTTTTCGGTCTCGTTCAACTGACTTCCTTTGGCCTCTTGTTCCTTATGACTCGATGCGATCTTACCTTCCTCTGTGGTCCCCAGCGAATTGATAATCCGCGACGGACGGCGTACGCTATTCTCCCGCTCCACGGATAGACAAAACTCCTTGTCCGTTAGCAGAATACGCTTTGGCATCCGCGCCGGTTTCTGCAGCTCCAAATCGATCTTCTCCCAAGATGGAGTCTTCAGTAAGCTCTTCACCTTACGCAACTCCGTCAACAGATCCATAGTTTCCTGCGAAGGCTCGTGGAAGATCCGCCTCTTCGGCCGTCTGATGGACGCGTTCGTGTCCGTCTCCTGTTCACTGGTTTGATCGATTCTCTCTTGTTTCCTTAGAACGGATTTAACCGTGCCTTCTGGACTCTGATCTCGCTTTATCTCGGCTGGTTCGTTTTCCTTCGCGTCGGTTGTTGGTGCGTATTCTGCCTTAAGCTCTTCGTTCTTCAAGATCCGCACTTCTGGTCCTCCCGGTAGCAGACTCATCTTTAGCCTCTCATGATGACTCAACGATCCCTGAGCAGCCCGTGTGCGTCGTTTGAAAGCCGCGTAACTTTCCGTAGGTATCTCCTGCAACTTGAACTTATCCTGCAGTTGCTTGAAGGTCTCCCGCGTATACTCCTGAACACCACGGCGAGCGGCCAACGAGTCCTCCGACGAGATCTCCCTCGTTCTCCCGATATCGTCGGTTATAGTCCGTGAGGCAGTGACGAATGAGAGGGCGTCTTTTGCCAGCAGATTATCCGAGGAGATGCCTCGTCTCTCGAACTGGTTATACTTGAACGATCGCCTCGTGTTGTCGATTTTCCTCATATCCTCGACGATCAGTTTTCTAGTCTTTGTCGGGGAAAACGATCCTCTCTCCAAAGTGTCGCTCCTAGACTCGACCTCGCGATCGGGTGAGACGCTCGAGATCGGCCTCTTGCTGGGCGAGTTCGGCATGCTGTCGTCGCTGCGAAGGATCTCGCGGGAAGTCTGATGGATCCTGCGACGAACGGGTGTAACTGACTCCTTTCTCATACGCTGCGCTCTGCGCGGCGAATTGCTCCAGCTGTTGGCCTCGCCCGGCGAGTCCAAGCACGCGGAGGATATAATCTCCTCGCTGGTGATCACTCGACATCTCAGCAACTCGGCCCCGCCGGTCGCCTGTTGGCTCTCCGTTTCTGTCCTCGACTCGCGCTCGTCGCTGTTCTCCGTCGGTAACGAGCTCGGACCGGAGTCCAATACGTCGTCCAAGGACAAGCCACGTAACGGATCTCGTAGTTCTTTCGTTAGAACCGTGGATTGCAAGTCCTCCGTCTCGAACGAGTGCATCTTTAGCAGGAACTCTTTACCCGACCGCCTTCTCTCGCACGTCGCCCACATTTGCGGAGTTATCGAAGATTTGTGCTGTACTTCCTCCACGGATGACGTTTCCTGGACTTCTATGTTCTCGACGTTCTCTTCGATCGCGTATCGCTCGATCTCGTGCCTAGTGTCGTTACCGATCTCATCCCTCTTGATCACATCGTTTATCCTTTTCTCGTGTCTGACTTCGTTCCTACGTTCGTTCCGCGGAGTATCGAAGGTAAACTTGTCTAAGGTTTTGGACGAGCCGATCTTGTCCAAAAACGGCCTCTCGACGGCTTTGCTGGGCCCGATCTTCTCCAAATAAGGCTTGCCTTTGATCCGCGGGGTCCACTTCGCCAGGAACGGTCGATCTTCCGTTTTCGAGATGCCAATCTTCCTCAGGAACGGCCTCTTCTTATCCTTCTCTTTATCCTTTTCTTTGGAAGCTTCAGACGAACGATCGCTCAGTCGATCGTTGCTGTAATTGGACGAGTTGTCGCTGCTCTTAGAGCGGGCTCTCTTGTTACGCGAATACGGCGTAAGCGGGGTCCTGGGCGTCCGCGGGGTAAGAGACGGACTGGGTTCTATGTTCGGACAGGTCTCATCCAACAGCGCCATCGCGTCCCTCAGATCCATGTAAGCCTTCCGAGGCACAGGTGCTGGCGGCGGGGGCGGCGGCGGCGGCGCCTTCAACTCACCATCGACGCTGCTGTTCCTCGTCGAGCCGTTCAGGTCCAGCCTGCCGTCTCTATCGGCGTACAAGTACGAGGGATACGAGCTCCGATCACCCATTGGTCCCGGCGACGTGTCCGCCGTCGTCAAATAATCGTCCAGGTACCAGGGCGTCACGCCGAGGTCCTCCGGCCTCATGGCAGGACTCTGCGGCATCCCGACGCTTCTACTGACGGCACCCTTACCGCCAGCAAGAGCCTGCTGCTGTTGCTGTTGTAATTGCTGTAGATGCTCTTGTTGGTTCGTCGTCACGCCGCTGCTCGATGACGACATCGCCGTGCCGTCCGTGTAAATCGACATGTTGTTCGATGCGCGACTGAGAAGCGGCCTGCGATAGCTGGAACAGGTAGCAAAGTGCGGCGGTGCCGGCCTCGCTGTTTCCACGACGACGCGACCCTGGGCGCATGGCACCACTGGTTCACCGTCCGCCGGCGCCTCCTCCGGGGTTAACGGCAGTGCCGCCCCGCGACCGAACTCGATGAACCACAGCTCGTCCCTCAACTCGTTTTCTCACTTCTTCTCGTTCATATCTTTGTTCAGGTAGTGCAGCACGTAGTGCAGGACCAGGTCATAGCAATATTTGTACTCCGTCTGAAAAAAAGAAAGAAAGATCAAAGTCTTACGCTTCTCTTCGCTTTATCTGAATTGAGGAAGAAAACTTTAGAAAGAAAAAAACGTGTGCTTGCACGATTTATGCATGTATACACTAGGAGAAAAATACTTGGACATTTATTTGTGAGATACAAAGTTTATTTGTAGAAATAAACTGCATATCTTTCTCGAGTATTCTCGAGTATTTTTTGTAGTGCAAACACAGAATATCGTATCGCAATTAGAACAAAATGGAGATTCAAAGAAGATATTTTTAGCAAGTGGAAAATTAATTTAGAATTTTGACAATTGTAAAATTTCGTTGCAAATTGTTTTTTTTTCATATGAAGAAAACGTACCATGTTTTCCACAAGCTGAGGCCTGTGTCTGCGTACAGTTTTGACAGCTTGGAAGATGTCAACCTCGCCGTGTTGGATGACTTGTTCTATGCATGCATTGGCTGCACAATAGACCCCGCAACGACTTCTGCCATCGGGCGATACAACCGCTACCGGCCCGTAATCTGTCCGTTGCCTCCATCTCTCGACCATATTCATGAGCTCGACTAAACTGTTGGTGGAAGTGGGCACTTTGTGGCCCATCGGCCAACAGGTCAATTGGAACAGTTGTACGGTCTTCGGCGGTGCCTTCACACCCGCCATCATTTCAGTCAATGAGACGATTTTCTTGTTTACCCTGAAGACCTGGAAAATGCAATTCGTAAGCTCAGAGAGATCGGATCGATTTTTCGCGCCGAGTCGCGTACAAGGGTTTTCTCGGCGAATTTCGGCGAAAATCTGCGAGAATTTCCGTGCAAAGCCGCGACCCCGAGAGTCACTCGACGTCGTGGGCTAAAAGCTCTTGGGAGATTGAGTCTCGCGAGAATTATAGGGACCCTTCTCACCCAGGTTTTTATGTTGGTGTAATGATTGTGGCTGATGTGGTCGATCGTGAACACCGGGCCGTATTTCTTCGAGTGCCTTCCCTCCGGCCAGAAACTGGGGAAATTTGTCGAGCCCTGAACCGGCACGCACAGCACGACTACCGCGGCGCATTCGTAGTCGTAAACCAAAGACCAGAATTCACCGCACGTGTGTCGAAGGGGCCATTCCGTCACGATATATTCCCGTGGCTTCGTGTATCCCTGCACAGCACGAATGGATGAATGTTTCTAAAAAGAACTCGGCAACGATCGGCAAATAGATCGCGGAGTATATAACATATCGACCCGCGCGGGACTATCTCCTCCAGGTTTACGTCGTTTGTCAGTCTCCACAAACCGGAATTATCATTAATTATTCGCCATAACGAAGTTAACCGCGCACAGGCAAGGGCCGGATTTTAAAAGGTTGCGCATAATAATAGTCGGTACCCGCTATAACGAATAATTTCCGTTTTAATCATCGCAGCGGCGGCGACGCGCTTCATAAAATTTCGTTAAAAGTTTCGCGTTAATTAAAGAAGGTAGTCCTTGCGCGCGCGCGCAAGGTACAAGGAACGGGCTACAGATAAATGAGTTAAGTGGGTGATTTATTTTACTGGCTTACGTCCACAAAGACGGCGTTTATGTAATCCGTGAAACTGTTGCCCTGAAAGCTGGTAAGGTACGGTCGAAAGTTGTCCGCTGTAACAAAAGACGGGAAATCGATTTGTGCACGCGAGGAATGGCTGTTTGTCGAGACCGTCGGACGCGCGGGAGCAGCACGCGCCCTTAGAAATCAAACTCACGTGGAACTACCAAGACGTCTCTGTTCTTCTCCCTGTTGTCGGCCCTGTGACCACCGGCGCAGTCCCCGATCGTGAAACGCGGAGTCTGCTTGCAGATCTGCTGGTATTCTCGTTGATACTCGTTCATCTTGGTTATCGGATTCTTTACGCTCTTCTGCTTCAGCCGTTGTGACAGCTCCGCCACGGGAAACCACGATGTGCCACACACCACGAACTCCTCCAGCGTGTCGTATATAAATTTGTACTGTTCCTGTATGACAAATGAGCATGTTAAGATTAGAAGTCACTAGCGTCGCGCAAGTGCACGATTACAAGCCAACTGCTAGGACGAATAGGCAGAACAGGAGATTGTTATATTCTGTTCAAATAGTTGTTTAATTCATGAATCGCTAACAGCGGCTCGTAGATTAAATAATTATTACCGTGTATAATTTTTATCATATTTCAAACACAAGATATCAATTTCCATGATATTTTGAGAAAAATATTAAGTATAATTTCTATCATATTTCACACATGAGATATCAAATATTTTATAGAATATTCAATAAAATATAAAATCTATAAAATATTTCAAATATTCTAAAATATTTCTATTATATTTTTCAGACGTAAAATATCAAATACAATTTCCATCATTTTTGACATATAAAATATCAAATATAATTTTCATCATATTTGAGACATAAGATCATTTCCGTCATATTTGAGACATAGTCGAGACGTAATCTCCATCATAATTGAAATATAAGTATTTTTCGATGGACATAGAGATAGCATTCAATTGACGTACCAAGTTCTCGATGAGTCCTTTTCTGCTCTGCCTCAGCTTCTTCAAGTAACCAAACACGTCGAACGCGTCCTCTTCTTCGGCCAGCTCCATGTTTGCGTCGATCGCTAAATATACCCCCGATCGTCCGCCTCCGTCGCTTTGTGCCACACAAATAAGCAAGTTTATTATCCGATTCCACAGAAACGACGCGCCGTTCGCTCTTACATTGAGACAATTGCAACAAAAGTCTCCTTACTTGCAGTGAACGATCATAGGTCCGGATTCGTTTGTTATCGTCGATCCCACAACCGCTCGTACACGACGTCTGAATTCCAGCACCGCGTTTCCGAACGGACACGTGTGCGAGTGCCACTCCGTGTAATGAAATTGCAGCAATGTCCTTTCCTCCGTAACCTCCTGAAAAGCGTTCGCGCGACAGAAGTTACAGCGATTATTTTCGACGATTAGGATCATTCTACCTCATCTCTTTTCTTCCGTCCCTTCGTATTTTATCTCCCGTGTCTTATTCCCGTGCGCTGCAATTCTATTTTCCCGTGTTTAAAACGCGCAAGCGAGCGCTCTGTAAACTCGCGATCGACGCGGAAACGCAGAAAATCGCCGCTTAAGAGATTAACGAAGGCGCCTTTGTACGCTTTCTGCATCGGGTCGAGTTACCTCGCCATGGCAGATTACTTTCCGAGGGGCGAGCAGTTTCTCTTCTGTGTATTGTTATCGCAACAATGCCGCGTTAAGCTCAACAATTGCAGTCGCATCTTGGACTCGCGTCGCGGCACATCGAGCGGCGCTCTGTAACGCCTCGCTCGCGCTTTGCTATTCCCGGAATGGGGTTACGGGGCCCCCCTTTCTATATTAAATTTCGCCCGGCCGGTAAATCTCGCGTGTAATTATTCCGCAGCATCTGCCGTGCGGCTCGTACGGCGGAGTCGCGCGCTCCGACCGGTTTCCGCGCGTGAGCCGTTAATAGTCTTACGCGGAAAAGTGCTGAGCGCGAAAGAAGCGACAGATCTTAACGAGGGGTCGTAACGCGTTGGCATTCCTGTCACGATATCTGTCTCGTCTGGCTATTAGTTACTATCGTTAGCTGCGATAAATGACGTCGCGAATAACACTGCAATTCTAGACAAAATCGTAAAACTCGTGACTTGTTTTCGTAAGACTCGTAAGAACTTATGAGTAGATCTGCAATTTTATGCGGGCCGTATGTTATATAATAACTCGTAAATATCTACGATTGTATGTTATATGATAACTCGTAAATATCTATGATTCTTTTTTGGTTTTTCGTAAGCTACTATAATACTTTACGATTTTATGATTTACTCGTGTATTTGCTTAGAATTGCAGCATAAATGACTGTTTTCTGCGATCGGATATCATACGACTGGTTCAACACACGGAAGAAATTTCATAATAAAAATTAGGAATAGATTGATTATGTTAATTGACTATCTTTTCATTTCATAGATTGACAGAAAAAGTAGCTAAAAATAAAAAATAATTATTTACGGTAAATACTAATATATATATAGATCTAAATTCTTTCGTTTAAGTGGATCAATCAATTACTTTCGTGAAAAGCAATAGCATTAGAGTGAAGCAAAAGCATGAAACGTAGAGACGATTGAAGGAGAAAAATACGATCGGATAGATAGACGATAAACGGAAAGCAAGGTTGCGTTCTCTCGTGTAAAACTGCATCGAACACACAGGTGTTCTCTCGTTTATACATACGCGTGTAAAATTAAGACTAAGATTCTTCGTCGCGGAATAATACCGAATGCGAAGTCGAAAGAATAACGACTCCCTTTTGGCATGACGCGGCGCGCAGCTTAAGAAGGATATAAAGTCGAGGATTACAGGCGCGCTCGCGGAAAGAGAGAGAGAGAGAGAGAGAGAGAGAGAGAGAGAGAGAGA